AACTGTCACTGGTTACACCTCAGACGTGCGCACTTGAGTTGAAACTTCTGATTGCAGAACTTGGGCCATCGTGTTGCAGTTGAACCCGCTCAAAACGAACACCTTGCTGACCAGCCGATGCTGTGGCTTTGATGACATGGGGTTTCAAAAATCGCACACCCAATTGCTTGCGAACAGCTGTTGTGCGGAAAGCTGTCTAAGCACTGTGCTGCGAAACTACGTCACTCGCCAAGCAAGTTAGCACGTTTCTATCCAACTGAGGCTGCGAGATTTTGAAGCCATCACGCCAAAACGTGCTGTGCAAACTGGCGACTCCGCTTACCCAAAGAGGCCAGGAAAACGTGGGACGCCCAGTGCAAAGATGGGACAATTCACCCAGAGATGCCATCTGTGCACAGGCCCCCCCCCCCCGGGGCCCCCAATCCGCGCCCTCTTTGTGGCCCAGATGTTACCCAAACAGACCCATTTAGAGCCAGTCAGCGGGGAATTTCATGGTCAAGCCCTCAAGGACAAGGGGGTTTCTTTAGGCTCAAGCCGATTTTTCTTTGGGTTGAAAGGGAAAACTCGGCGAACCTTTACTTGAGTCGCAATATGTCGCAATCAAACCCATTGCAATGATCTACCCGGAATGGAAAGAATTAAGAAGTTCAAAAAGACATGTATTTTTCTAAGTAGACTTTGTTAAAATTGTTGGACTATGGAAGCAAACGGAAAGATGACGGGAGATGAGGGAAGACTACGATGACCGAAGACGGGAGATGAGGGAAGACTACGATGACCGAAGACGGGTAGATGACGGAAGACAGGAAGATAACAGCAAACATGACGGGAAGACTACGGGAAGACGACGCAAAACATACGGGAAGAGCAAGTTGCTCTCGCGCGCCGAAATGGCACCAAAGTGTGCGAGGGCTCTAGGAGTTGCCACGCTCAAACTGGAAGCACGCCCTCGAAATCAGCAAGCGGGCCGTGTCTTGCCGTGGCGAATGCGGCTGCCCCAACTTTTCGTGGCTGTCATCTATTTCGTTGCTGGGTCGCATCGATGGGCCACACTGCGAAGGCATGGGTGGCTCAAAACCAACCAACACCAGCAAAGGAAACGAGCGAGATTTGCGCTGGGGCACCCTTGAGCGAGCACAGTCCCGCACCCTTGAGCTTGCCACGTCAAACTGGCGCCGACTTTGCGCCAAGCTCGCAAGGTGGCCCTGCGGACTGCACGCACGGCGCAAAGCTCTCGTGCCCGCCATGAGGGCTGCGCCCTGCATACGGCCGGCACTCCAAGTGAAGGCGTGCGTCCCCGACGACTCGGTCAGGCGGAGGTGGACAAACCAAAGCCCGTGACGTGGCCAAGCGCTGCTCAACGTGCGCAACTCGCTCGTCCCCCACGTGCAGAGTTTGCAAGATTCACATGCATCGCCATGAATATCCACCACCACCATTACCACCACCACCACCACCACCACCAAAAATGCAGCAAGCATGTCCTCAGCGGGATTTTCATGGTCTCCAATAATTTTACTGACCATAACATCAACAGGCACCCATGGGAGAGCATGCTTCGCAATACAGACGTTGACTCTGCCAAGACTGAGAAGTCACGCTGCTGTGATTGGGGCCTTGTTCCAACGGCATGACCCTTAGAAGGGCATCTCGACAGCTTCTCAATGTGTTTGCTACCAAACCAGCAAAGTGAAGCAGGAGATGTTCCACGCAATCATCAACAACCTGCCAATATCCAAGCAAAACACGAGATGGTTTCACTCATGCTCTGATGATGTCCACGCAAAAAGACTTGCCTTGCCAAGTTGACGTGTTGCTCAAAGCCAAAAGCCCATTTGCCAGGTGCCTATCGAGTCAACAGCAAGCTCAAGTCCCTGTGAAAATATCGGACCCCAAACCCTAAGCAAAGCTAGTGAAGCACCTCAATAACTTGCACCCAGCACACTTCAACCTGCATTCCATTTGCTTCATGAGTGTTGACTCGCCCGGAGAGCAAACAAAACGCTCTTGCACCATCATAACAGCCATGCTCCAGCACGTTGACTGCAACCCACAAACATGACTTGTCAAATTGCTGACAAGCACAACCATGATCTCCCATCAAGTCACAAGCTCCAGTTCCTGGCATCACAGCAAACTCCAGCTCCTCTGATAACGACCCAAACCCTTTGGAAGGCTCCCCGAGTCATCGGCGGCAGTTGCTTCGACAACCCCCCAACCCAGCCCAGAAGCATCTTTTTCTTCAGCCCACGAAGCAGCAGACCCCAAACCCTAACAAACTCAAAAGGAAGGACCCTGAGCGGAGGCCTGGGAAGTTCCACACTACACTTGCCCTCGGGCACGCTGGGGTGATCAAGTTCACACTTGCAAGCCGTGAATATCATAACTTAAAACAAGGTGAAAATTGATCATATCGCACCTGCCACGATGAAACTCACCACATTGAGCGGCGTGTTTGGTTATTTTGTGGAAGCAGTTCTGAGAGGGGAGAACTTCCTGCTCCTGGAGGGCAGCGATTTGTACATCGCTAGAGAGGTTTACTAAGGACCAGGCAGTTGAAATCTACATCAAGAGGACAGAAGTTCATGCCTCTTGCTTGCTTCTGCAAAGCCACGCAGGCCACCCCGGATCAAATGTAGACCTCCATTTTGTGTGGGTCTATTATTACGCTTAAAAATAAAAAGATAGAGGCTTCGGAGTGTGGACCGCGCGAATGCCCCTCAGTTTTTGCAATCTTGCGCCTTTGCCGGATGCTCAAAGCTTCAAAACGCCCTTTGCCGCAACGCTGCAGGTCTCACAATACGCACCACCAGCATAAAAGTTTGCCCTCTTGCCTCGCCACAAAGAATGGCCACCCCTTTCCCCCTAGAATCCTTCAGGCGATGGAGCCAATTCTCATACTTGCAAGCCGTTTAAATATCATAACTTAACCCAGGGTGAGAATTGATCATGCCGCACCGCCACGCAAAATACAACCGTAAGTCTGACCAAATTGACCGACCTGCCAGCATCTTTGATATTCTTGTTACACAGTTCTAAGAAAGCGAAGCTCTCGCTCCCTGAAGTACTGAAAGAAAGGACACCTAAGAAACAAACCGTCGAGATGCACTGCAACAGCAAAGCACCACCATCGGGGGAGCCATCAAAACCAGCTGCGAGGTCTGGCAAAGCGCCCTTGCCCGTTGCCTTTTCACCGCCAGGGACCTGCAAGCCGCGTGGCTTCACCGCGGTTCCGAGCGAAAAAAACGAAACGCCGCTCACTGCTCCGCTTTCCGCCATCCAGGGTTTCGCGCCGCTCCAGTGCAACGGCTTGCCGATCCACGCAAGATACGTTTGTCGAAGCATGGACTGGACACTTGGAATACATTTACTCTCCTCCAGGTGATTTCGCTGTAAAAGTAAAAGAGGAGCAGTGGTTGGAAACTTGACCAACCCGAATTCCGAAATTTCTTACTGAAACAGGGCTCAAACTGTCAGTTTTTGCCTCAAGGTCGCCGGCGCTATCGCCATAAGCAAATCCAGACTGCCAAGTTTACAAAGTATGCTCTATTGTCCTGCAGCAACCCCTTCAATTAACACAGCCAAGCGGATCTTGCGATCGCGTACTCAAATTGCGAAACCACCATCAACTCACTCGGCACCAGGAAGGGTTTTTGGAAGGGGTTTTGAGCAACAGGTTCTGTTCCAAAAATGCACAACCATCCTAACATCTTTCCTAACACCCAGCACAAGGGGCTAAATGGAAACAACCTGAAACGACAACACCACCACAAGCACCCCCACCACCACCGCAACCACAACCACAACCACCAACAACAACCCAGTGCCCCAAACGACTGCCGTTTTTTGCTTGCGGCACGGCGCGACCATTTTTGTTGTTCGAACAACCTGATTTTTGGAACGACCATTTTCTTTTCAAACGTCTGAATGCCCATGCGTCAAAGGCCTCCCAACAAAGCCAAACGACAAAGGCGCACACCTGGTTGACGGGTTGCTTGGAAGGTCGCACACAGTGAACCAAGGCACGCAGTGCCCTGGTCAACGGGCGAGGTATTCCAACCCGTGAAACAAAAGGGGCAAAACAGGCGTGTTAAAATCCTGTTCGCTGCTTCAAGCCAAGAGGGAACAGCCATGAAAAGGGGAGCACCGACCCTAAGACGCTCCGCTCCCCGTTAAGGCCCGTTGCACTGCTCCTAGCTTGAACCCAAGCAACCCTCACATTCAAAGAACCCCGCAAATCCAAAAGGCGCGCACTTCTTTCTCACGGTTGCTTGAAAGTAGCACTGCCTCCAGGACACGCGGTGCACCTGGAGCAGGAGGAAGCATTGTCCCCCCCTGTGGCTTTTGCAGCGCAAGCACACAGCGTGGCAAGCGTGCTCACTCTGATGTGTGCGGCGAGGGCAGGCGTGCCCAAGCCTGGGCTTGAGGTGCAGAGCGTCTGCAGCCTCGAGCCAGCCTTGTGACAGGCAAAGTAGGGTGGGAGGGTGGGTTTCAATCGAACGGTTTGAGTTCAAGGCTGGGAGCAAAATGGCCACCGCGTACGAGATTCACAACAGGCCCTAAACACAAGGAAAAAGAAAACCCTAAGCGTTAAGGCCTGTTGCGCTGCTCCTAGCTTGAACCCAAACAACCCTCACATCAAAGAACCCCGCAAATCCAAAAGGTGCGCACTTCTTTCTCACAGGTTGCTTGAAAGTAGCCCAGGGCACGCGGTGCACCTGGAGCAGGAGCATGTCCCCCTCTTCAGTGTTTCCAAGCAACCCCGGAAAGAGCTGAGCCAGCTGAGTAGCCGACCAAACCCCCCCTTCAGAGCGGGGTTGCGCCTGACAGGGCGAATGCGCACATTGTTCGGAAACTGCTTGAGCTCTTTTAGCGCGCTGAGTTTGGTGACAAACTCTTTGATGCGGCAGCCAAAGCGCATCGATGGGGCACAGAGTGAGCCCCCTTCCAGCTTGAGCAAGGCTGCGAGGGCTAAAGCGCACGCGGTCTGCAGGGCGGTTTCATGAAACGGTGAAGGCGTCCTCGGCGAGGTCGTCCACCCAGTCATTCAGACGTCCGGGCTCTCTCTTTAGAGGCTGTTCTTTAAACGGATTCTATTGCACCTGGGAGGGTTCTGAGCGAAGGATTCGAAATCTAAAATGCTGCGCGCAGGCGTGTGCCTGCAACAAAACGACCCCTAGATACGCTTGCAATTTGCCTCCAAGGGCTAAGACAAAAAGAAAAAAGTTATTTAAAAAAAAAGGCAACCTGAGCAACCGACCAACAAAAACGATCCCACACCAGCCCACGCTCCCATGCCTGAGATCTTGTTTTGGACTCCACATGCCCTACAGCAACTTTCTCCATGCTGTTTCGCGTCTTCGGAACCTGCACCACCTGTACATGCACATTCTTAAACACTTTGTCTCGCCCCTGCGCCATCTCCATGAAGGCTCTGAACTCCTCTCCTGACTTGGGGGCGAACTTTGTGGGGTCTCCCGTAGTGAAAAAAGAGAGAGTGAAACTGTACTGTCCCTTGCAGTGTTGGAAAATGTCCCGCAGCGTGTCTAGAAAGCTCTTTGCGATGCTGTGCTTGGGACCAGTTGTCGCGGAGATGCCATGATTCAAGCCTAGCAAGTAATCGACGCCTGCGTACCGTTCCGGGCTTTGCAGAAGGCATTTCTCAAGGCTGCCGTTCTTCACGGCCTGGCTCCATTTTCGCTCGAATATGTCCTTAGTGTCGCACCTCAGCAGCTGCAAGCCCGCGTCAATAACCAGAGAGTCGCACGGATTCCGTTCCCAGTTGGCTTTGCCTTGCGAACTCTTGTCAGTGATGTGGTGGGCGTCAAACTTCTTCGGAAACCACGAGCAGGTCAGAAGGGGTCCAAGGAAGTGTTCAAACCAGTACCTGGCACGTGGATCGTTCTTGGTCCAGAGGTCAGCAAGCTTGTCATAGTGCTTATCTGCTATCACCTCTGCGGCCTTGGGGGAGACAACTTGGGCCGTGCTAATTTTGCCGTCCACGGTGACGTACGTGAAGAGCCTCGTCAACAGCTTGTTGCCTTGCTTGTCGAGAACACCGCCAAAAGCAGGCTGCAAGCCCTTCCAATCGGCAGCTTGATTTTTTTGATCCTGAAGGTACTTGCGGAAGCTTCCATCGTCGTCCAACAGGGCACGCAGGTTGCCTCCAACATATTGAAACCTGCGCAACACCGTGTCCTTGTCGACCGGAGGCTGTGCAAAATGCACATAGGCCAGTTCCAGCTCAGCCTTCTTCCATTGTTCTACGTACACACAAGCCCCACCGCTCTTCACAAAACCTGTGTAGTGCTCTCTGTCCGGGCTGCAGGCCTTGACCGTCTTGGCCGGCAGCTTCCCCGTAGTCTCCTTGCCGTAGGTATCCACTAAATACCAATTGTCGCTGTTCTGCAGGTGCTCGCAGTCGCTTGCATCCCACTTGCCAATCGGCAGGCTGTGCCCTTTCCAGCGGCCGTCCTTGTTCTTGCTGAAAATGAAGACCTTGAGGCCCTCCCGGGCCTCGAAGACGATGGCCTCGGGCTCCTTGATCCAGTCCGGGCGGTGGCCCGACACCAGGTGCCACAGGCCCAGCGCCAGGGACCTGCTCTTGCCGATGCCGGGGGTGCCCAGCATGGCCACGCGCCTCGTGCCGTCCTTCATCAGCTCGAAGGTGGCCTGCCAGGCCTGGCGCGTCGTGATCCGCGTCAGCAGCTTCCTCCCGCTCAGGTCGTAGGGCTCTGCAGGCAGGCACGTCTTGAGGTCGAAGACCTGCACGCCTCAGCATGGCTTCAGCAAGAAAAGCAAAACTGATCCGCGGTCCTCCCGGCCTTCGGCGAGGTCCTTGGGCTTGGCCTTGACCAGCTCCTGGATGAACGCCGTGGCATCTGGGTCGTCCTGCAGCCGCGAGCACACACGGGACGCGAGCCATGACACAAGCCGTCCTTGATCCCGCTTGCCTGCACGGCATACGACGGACAAGACAGGAAAAGATGACGCATGAGCTGTTCGAGAATCGAGCATCAACGACTGGAACAAAAAGTAAAACAGCACAATCCAGCATGGACACAAAGGTGGGGATGCATGACCTCAACCATCCATTCGTGGGGCTCCACAGTGAGTCGCATCATGCGCCAACAATGCAGCCAGCTGAAGCCCAAAAATGCGCTGTGCTGTGCCCAAACGCGATCTTGGGAT